AGAGCGAGAAGAGAGAGCGAGAAGAGAGCGAGAGAGAGCGAGAGAGAGCGAGAAGAGAGAGCGAGAAGAGAGAGCGAGAGAGCGAGAAGAGAGAGCGAGAGAGAGCGAGAGAGCGAGAGAGCGAGAGAGAGAGAGAGAGAGAGAGAGAGAGAGAGATTCCACTCAGATTAGACAGCGGCTTGGCAAGTGTATCCCTTGGCCACAACTGAAGTTTGAGAACGCACTGCAGCCTCCTTGCTCTGCAGAGAAGTACGCAGTTGCAGTTGCGTTTGGGGGGCTGTGGTCAGTGGCAACCCAGTACCACAGCCATAGAGGGCAGGTCCTGGAGCAAAGACTCAGGGACGGAAGGCGAGACTCAGAATGATGCCAGCGAGCTGCACCACCCACCACTTCGTAGGCTGTGGGCAACTTTCACAGCTTTCTGCCCCATGAATAAATACTCAGAATATAACGAGCTTCCTGGCCAAGGTCGCCATAGTCGCCATAGTAGTCCAAAGCCATGGGTAGGAGGACCCAGCAGTCTGAAGCCTTGCTGGAATTTCCACCCATGATTTTCAATCGCAGTTCATTGATCCTAAGCCCTGGTCTTGATATTTGATCATCTCTGTGATTTGGATGTGTCGTACAATTCATGGTGTCACACTTTAACAGTTTCTCTAGGAGGTATGTGAAGCAACAGCACAGAAACGATGTCTGCGATTCCATGTGACTGGGACTAAAATTCTAGTCGTGTTGTGTGTGATACTTGTCTCCCCCTCTATATCCCTCGTGCAGTACACAACAGGTTCTCAGCAAATATTAACTAAATACATGGATGAATGAATGAAAACTTTTATAATTAGTCATGACCTTACAATTGCTGACAAATTAATTCAGAAAAGCCATGTAATTCGTTGGAGCTTTTCTTAGCTCAGTCATTGGCTATAATGTCAAAAGCAAGTGGCTGGTCACTGGGGAGGCAAGAAAGAGGAAGTGCCCCATAGATTCTGCTGTGGCTGGAATCCTGCCCATAAGTTTCTGTTTTAAAAATACCTTTTAGAAGGAGGAGAAGGAGAAATCCAGGTCGTGCTGAGCCTGGGTAACTTAGACTTTGTCTCAAAATAAAAATAAGGATCGGGAATATAGCTCAGTTACAAAACTCTGGTTTGGATTCTTGTCACCACCATCCTAAATACTTTTAAAATGATATAGAAATCGATGCAGAAATGGAGACTTAGGGTAGCAGGAAAGCAGACTGATTTTTAAAAGCAGCTGACAGTTTATTTTTTAATATTTATTTATTTGATTTAGGTGGGGCTGGGAATGAACCTAGGGCTTCCTGAAATGCTAGGCAATCACTCTGCTGCTGAGTTACATCTCCAGCTCCACATTTTAAAAAATGCTCAAAAACAGTTGAATCTTAAAAAAGTAGGGAAGGATTGAGAGGGTGGAAGATGTTCTTCTTTTCTTTTGACTTTTCCAATTGATGCCAGATTCTAGCCTTTGGCTGAGGACAAAAAGAAAACAGCTGTTAAGAAACCAGAAATCAAAGATGTGCTGCTCATCCCTTCCTCCCCTCTACTGGGAATTCATGTCCTAGAGACAAGGTGCTTGGAAGGGCTTCAGTGCATATACAGCTTTCTGAACATTCTCCTTCTCTGTCCCACTGCACTGTCACTCCTCCAGGATCCAGACCAGCCTCGTGGCCCCACAGGTTGCAAGAGGAAAACCTTCGTTTTTAATGAATGCCAAGGGTTTGCCCACCAAAACACACCAGGACCTGGGCATGAAAATGTCAGCTCCCTTTCAGTGTCCCCAGGCGTCTGTTGTCCTTGGTGAGGAGGAAGGAGCTCCTGACCAAAGGACGTCTCTTGGTCTGGTGTTGACAGATACCTTGTGAAGCTTTGGGTCCCTGTTTTGCTCCCTCTCCCCCCAAATCGCTACTAGACCAGAGTGGATGCTTTTTTAAATCTATAATAATGAAGTGAAAAGCATGTGGTTGGGGTAGCTAGGAGTCACAAAATAGAAAGTACCCAGAGATCTGGGCTGTACCTTGAAAATTTCCTGTAATTTCTATTATTTTTTTGTTTTAAAAATTCTTTTTGGGAACCTGAGGTAAGGATTCTAGGTTGGATACCCACCTGGGCAGCTGAGAAATTATGGACCTCATCTGTAAGGTCCTACTCAATCTGGATTCATAGCCGAGCCACAGTCCCTGCAC